GGTCAACCTGCTCCACTCCCAGGTGAGGGACCACCGCAGCCCTGCGTCGCTGCTGGCACGGGAGAGCCGGGGGCCTGGCCACAGCGGTGAACGGCCGGTCCCGGTGGCACTGCCCTGCTTTGTCCGCAGAACACGGGCCTGATCAACCAGAAGAAGAAGCTGGAGACCGACATCTCACAGCTGAGCAGTGAGGTGGAAGACGCGGTGCAGGAGTGCCGCAACGCGGAGGAGAAGGCGAAGAAGGCTATCACGGACGTAAGAGCAGGGTGGAGATGGTGCTGTGTGCCCAGCACCCTGTGGGGCTGTGGGTGGGAGGAGAGGGGAGGGTGCCAGAGCTTCTTCACCGAGCTCCGGCATCTGGCAGGGCTGCCTGGCCTTGCGGTGATGCCTCTCTGCTCTTGGCCTTGCAGGCTGCCATGATGGCAGAGGAGCTGAAGAAGGAGCAGGACACGAGCGCGCACCTGGAGCGGATGAAGAAGAACATGGAGCAGACCATCAAGGACCTGCAGATGCGCCTGGACGAAGCGGAGCAGATTGCGCTCAAGGGGGGCAAGAAGCAGATCCAGAAGCTGGAGGCCAGGGTGAGGTGGTAGGGTCTCCCCTGGCTGTGCCCCCCAGGAGCAGGCTCCTGGCGCTGCCCCAGTCCCTGTGGCACCATCTGGGGGGCCCAGGCTGTGCTGCAGGGGACGTGGGCAGTGAGGGACAGTCCCCGAGCCTGGCGCTGGCTCCGTGCCTTCGCTCGGGGTGGCTCAGCCTCTGCTGTGGCTGCTCTAAGCTGGGGAAAGTGGCTTGGCCTCAGCGGGGGCTGGGGAGCAGAGCGCTGAGCTGGCCTCGCTCCACCCGCAGGTGCGGGAGCTGGAGGGAGAGCTGGATATGGAGCAGAAGAAGATGGCCGAAGCCCAGAAGGGCATTCGCAAGTACGAGCGGAGGATCAAGGAGCTGAGCTACCAGGTACGGCAGCACCAGGCACAGCTCTGGCCCAACAGGACTGGGCCCAGCTCTCGCTGTGCCTCTGGGGCTGTTCCGAGCTCTGGGGATGGGCAAGTGCGGGCTGGGCTTCTCCCTGTCCCAGCACCCATCCCCTGCTCTGTGTCCTTCTGCC